CCCCTGACTTTTTTTTTTTTTTGCGCAGAACCCTGAAACCTTATTGTAAACAGATTGGATATGCCCCTGTTTAGTGGTTTAAAACATGGTGAGATGTCTACCTCTACAAAAAAAAAATACATATATATATTAAAAATTAGCTGGGCTCCTGTCTTCCTAGTCAGTAGGCTGAGACAGGAGGATCACTTGAGCCTGTGAGGTTGAGGCTGCAGTGAGCCATGATGGTGCCATTGCACTCCAGCCTGGGTGGCAGAGTGAGACCTTGTCTCCAAAAAAAAAAAAAAAAGGATAAAATGGTCAGAAGTTATTTACTTCCCAGTGGGTTCTTTATATTCAGAAATACATCCTAGGGTGCTTTCACAGAAGAAGCTTCTCTTCACTTCCCTGTTTATTCAGCATTCTGTTTAAAATATCTTATTTATAAACATTTTGACCTTTATGCTATAGTTAAATTATATTGCTAGTATATAATGATGCATACTTGTTAGAAATTTTTGATAAGCTTTTAGAATTGTTGGAAGAGTGAAGACATTTTCTTCTTAATTTGCTGTATGACTTTTTATATTGCTATTACTAACATAATTTTGAATCTTAGAAAAGCAAAACCTTTAAGTGACCTCTTTCTCCCTATCTTGGCTACCCTCTTTTTCTGTAAAACAGTGATAGTAATATCTAACATTTATTGAGCTCATCCACTTGCTTTATATTAATTTATTTAATCCTCGCAACCAAATGAGATAGAAACTGTTGTTTTTCTCCCATTCTGTATATGAGAGCATTGAAGCTTGGAGAAGTTACTTGCCCAAAGTCACATAGCTCAGTAAGTTGCAGAGCCAGGATTCAAACCCAGTTTTGCTTGAATCACATGATCTCTAAGTTCATGTCTGGCTTTAATTTTCTGTGATTTTGAATAAAATTCTTTGACTAATGAGTACTAGGAATTAGATAATTACCTGTGTAACTTTCGAGCAATACCTTTGTGTCTGAGGTAGCTTTGGGAACACTTACTCAGGGAGGGGATGCTCTCCTCTTCCCACAGTATAGCAGTGGCCAGCTTCCACTGAAGATAACGTTTTAATTTGTAAACCTTCTTTAGGATGGCACTGTTAGCCAGTGCCATTGCACAGATACAGAGAAAAAATCAGAGATTCTCCCACAGCATCATTTTAACTACTTGGTGTTTTTGAGGAAGAAATGTAGATATAAACATGTAAGAATAGAAAGAGAGGATAGAAACAATTTTGTTCTGTCCCTTCACTTTTGAGAGGGTTGGCAACTCCACTAAGGTTGCAACTAGCGGTTGCAGACTGAACTGCAGTCCTAGATTACCTATTTTTGTCTAGTACCTGCTGAAACCACACACTGCCTCCCTTCACAACTTGTAATTTTTAATTAAGTTACTGGCCCATTTAGAAAGATTGTGCATATTGCAGCTACTTAAATTTGTTCCAAATTGTTGTTTACATCCAGTCTACCTCTGCATGTTTTATCTGTGGAATTGATTCTGAAGTCTTTTTGGGACAATGCTGCCACTCCCTGGTTATTGCATAGTACTGCATTAGGGAATCCAATAGTTCTTTCATTGCCATTGTAAAGCGTAATGTTAGGAGTCATAAATCTAGGTACAAGTAATCCAAAGCAGTAATTTATTTGTGTGTGTAATCAATAGGCATTCCTACATCATAAGATAACATAGATATTGTACCTTAAAAGATCACCAGTGTCCCTGGCTTAGTTCTGAAAAATTCACATCATACAAATTTGAGTTACTGTATCTAAAAGGTATTTCTGTTGCTCTTCAGGTTTTCAGACTTCTTAAATGTGTTGCAGAAATACATAGTTTTGTAGATTTTAAAACATTGTTGCTAAGAACGCTAGGAGATCTGGACTCCATATGCTCAATGAAGTAATTCATTTCTGTGAGCACTGAAAACATGTTATTAGTAGCTCAGTGAGGAGAGATCACTATCATCCCTTGCAGGAAACCAAGTTCTGGTGAAGAAGTAACTCCTATACTTCATAAGTTCTTCAGATTTTTCTGTGAACCATTGGTTATAATCACCTACTAATAGAGGAAACAATATTTATTTGAGCACTTACTCAACTCTAGATGCTTTCTGTCTTTTTAATTCTTTCAGTAATTATTTTAGGTAGGTTTCAGTATCTCCTTTTTACAGAAAAGGAGAGACTGGGAGAATCTTGGTAATGTGCCGAAAGCCATATACATGGGAAGTCACGGCATTGAGATTGGAGGGGCCGGGGCCTTCCCATCTTCTTTTCAGCAGGCCATGTTCCCTACCCTGTAGTGCCTGAACCAGGTTTCTTTTTTACCATTCTGGTTTTGTTTTCCCTAAAAACAAAACAAAATGAATTACTAGACCAGTGATTTCTCAACTAGGGACAACTTTGTCCCCAAAGGGGAGATTTAGCAATGTTTAGAGACAGTTTTGGTTGTCACAACTGGAGGATGGGTTCCACTGGCAATTAGTGGTTAGAAGCTAGTGATGTCATTAAGCGTCTAACAGTGCACACGCAGATCCCCAAAACAAAGAATCTTCTGGTTCAAATGTTGGTAGTGCTGAGGTTGAGTGGGTCCTTACTATAGACGGTGTATTTTAACTGAATCATCCCTGAGCACTGCCAAACAGGTGCTGCTGCTTCCACTGATTTATGTATTTTTTTTCCTATAATGAGTAATCTTATCCTGGTCCTGCTTTTTATCATCCTGTCTAGGGAAGAAACTAAGTTTTTTGGGGGGACAAAATATAATCTTCCCTCTACCCCTCTTAAGTCCTTGGCAAAATAATTCTTATGCCAGAGAGCATATTTTGGGGTGGTATGTTCTGATGATCTACACTTTCTAGCTGCTCTCCCATGTCCTGGCATTTGTCCCTCGCTGCCTGTGTATTTGGTCAGCAATAGAGTTAGAAAACCCCAGTTGTCCTGTAAGCTCACTAAAGGCCAGACAGAGTCAGGACTCAGGTTATTCTCCATATTGCCCCAGAATGGCTTTCTGTGCTGCATGCAGATGAACTGTGGGGGCCTGGATATGTTCAATAGTTTGTCTACCTTTATGTCTCCTCTTTTGTCTAGAAAGAATTCATTGAAATCTGTCCCATTTTTTCTTGTCAGCTGTTAACTAACGCCTCCATAATCACCTGCTGAAAATAATTGTTAATTTCTCTAAACTGCTACATGTAACATTTATTCTATTTATTTAACATCCTGGTGTGTCCTCTTTTTCCCACCTGCAACATAAACAGTGTAGAAGAAATTTTTGCCATTAAAGATTTTAATATGAAGGTACAAAATGGATAAATACTGAAGAGCACCTATCATGTAGGATTATTCTACATATAAAGTGTATTTAAACCAGTGTTAATGCCCCTTTTTTGTAGGCATGTGTATTTAGCACAGTTAAATGCAAAATAAGAATCTTGGTGTGTATGACATCTACTTTGAAATAGACATATTCAGCTGGGTGTGGTGGCTCATGCCTGTAATCCCAGTACTTTGGGATGTTGAGGCGGGTAGATCACTTGAGGTCAGAAGTTCCAGACCAGACTGACCAACATGGTGAAACCCCGTCTCTACTAAAAATACAAAAATTAGCTGAGTGTGGTGGCATGCGCCTACAATCCCAGCTACTCAGGAGGCTGAGGAAGGAGAATCGTTGGAACCTAAGAGGTGGAGGTTACAGTGAGCCGAGATCATGCCACTGCACTCCAGCCTGGGCAACAGAGTGAGGCTCTGTCTCAAAAAAAAAAGAAATAACGCATCTTCACATTTGAGTTCTGTTGAAACTTGTGGCAATTGTCTTCTTTCTGGTTCTTTAAATGGCTTTTAACTGTTTTTTAGCAAAGGTTTTTTGGAACCTTCCTGGTATTTTAGTGTTGGCTGCATTTGTGACTGCTCATTACAGCAGGAAGCATCTTTCTTCATTAATAAGGGCCCTTTTATCATATTTTAGGATTTAGGCATCCTCTTTATAAACATGCGGCATTTCTTGAATTTTAGCCCTCATTCATTTCTAACCAACAGACCTGTGATGAGAATGCAGACTGCTGAAAGGAATGATATTGCATTTAACTTGGAGAAAAGGCCTCACCTGGGTTGGAAAGTACTTTAGGAGACTGCAAGAAGCCCTAATGCACTCCCTGTTGAGATGTTTCTTACCAGGTGCACAGAGATGCAAGCTGCAGCCCCAAAACCTTCTAATGGAAGGGCAATATTTCATCCATTATTCTCTGAACAAACTGGGAACAAAAGTAACTTTTAGGGGTAACATGGTTCAGTGTCCTACAAACATTTATAGGATAATTTATGTGATCATCATGAAACTCTTCATTATTCACAAATAATTACATACAAGATGTTCTATTCTCTGGAGATTCAGAAATAAGTAAGATGAGGTCTCTACTCTTGGGACTCATGGTACCTTCATCACCACCCGTTCTTTGCTATATTAATTTGGCATATAACAATAACTGTGGCTAAAAAGTAGAAGGAGAATGTAATTTAGTCTGGGTAATAGGCAAACCTTGGAGGAGAGATTATTTTATACCAGGCCTTGCTGGGTGAGTTCTTTCTAGACTATTGCCCTAAATGAGCCTGGACAGTATGCTAAAACTCACTCTAAGTATTTACAAAATGATTAAAGATTAAGATAGAAGGACATATTCATGTAGTATTGTTTAGTTAATGTTAAATAAAAATGTAATATTGAATGGTTTTAGTTAATCAAACTGGGGAGATAAACAGATTTAAGACTGGTCTCCTTTTGTTTCCCGAAATAAGCAGTTTGGAGGGATGGGGTAAGAAGGGCCTGTAGATGGATTTTTTTGACCTCACAACTGATTTATGTATTGTAGTCCTGGCGGTAATTGTGTCTCTCCCTATCTACCTGTCAACCCATTCACAGGGGCTTTTGGTCATGGGTATGATATGCTCTTGTGGCACCTGAAATCCTGTTCCTAATGCTGTTAGATTTTCCTTTTCAGAGTAAGAGGGACCATCTCCTCATGAACGTCAAATGGTACTACCGTCAGTCTGAGGTTCCAGATTCTGTGTATCAGCATTTGGTTCAGGATCGACATAATGAAAATGGTAAATATGTCCTTCTGGTTTGATTTATGTATTTCTTAGCTTTGGGCAAAGTTCCCTCTCTAAAGGCATTCATTAAATGAAGATAACTTTTTAAAAAACGGATTCTTGAGTATTGGTAGGCCTTATGCTTGACAGTTCACATTGGTTACTGTAGTTCATGTGAGGTGGGTCTGTCCCTCTCTGGTTCCAGATGAGGAAACTGAGGTTGAGAGATGCTAAGGAAGTTGCTGGGACCATGCATCCTCCAAGTTGTGGTCCTGGTGCTGGCATCAAACTTTGGCTCCGATCCTGCCTTCTGCCCACTCTTCTCACAGGCTTTGAGTCAACAAACCAATGAAAAACAACTTGGAGGAATGATGTTGTATCTTAATGGATTTTTTTTTCCTTCTTTGAAACTATAAAAACGTCTGTTAAAGCAGGTAAATTATAGTTCCTTGTTAAACATATTCTTTTCTATGGAAACTATGATTTCACTCCATTTTGGAATATTTAGCCAGAAAAATAAGATGGACAGGATCATTAAGTATTTTGGTAGTTGAAGAGTTGCCAGGATGAGATTGTTTCTGCTCTTTTTCCATTTTGGGTTTAATCCATTTTGGCAAAATATAGGGACTTAGTATAGGGTATAAAACATAGCCCCAAAGATACTTTATTGACAAAATCTACACATTCTGTTATTGTTATTCTTGCAATTTATGATTCCTCTTCTCTATTTTGTATACTTACGATGCTAACCAGGCCTGGTTATTCAGTGGGTGGTAAACCTGAAAGAAAAGTTTTACAAAAGTTTTTTACTTCTTGGCGGGGCGCGGTGGCTCACGCCTGTAATCCCAGCACTTTGGGAGGCCAAGGCGGGTGGATCATGAGGTCAGAAGATCGAAACCATCCTGGCCAACATGGTGAAACCCCGTCTTAAAGTTAAAAACATTTTTTTTACTTGTTTTGGGAAACTCAATTTTAATGTCCTCTTAATTAATTTTTTTGACAGACTCTGGAAGAGAACTTGTCATTACAGACCCAGTTATTAAGAACCGAGAGCTCTTCATTTCTGATTACGTTGACACTTACCATGCTGCTGCCCTTAGGTAAGTACTGGAGACATGGTCTTCCATATGAAGGAGGAGTCACTGTGTGCAGGAGGTGGAGAGTCTACTCTCTCCTGATCTTGTAGTAATCACTGTATTTATCAGATTCCTCTTTTGGCTTCAGAGAGTGAACATTCCAGTGTCCACTTGGATTGTTGAGATTGTAGAGGTTCCCCGTTTATTCACTAATCTAGCTTTATGCCTGTCTCTCTCTCTCTCTCTCTCTCTCTCTCTCTCTCTCTCTCTCTCTCTCTCTCTCTCGTAAATGCCCTTTCTATATTATCGTATTTTCATTTCCTTGGAAATTATGATCCTGGTATTGTTTGCCAAAGTATTTAGGGTGAAATGTTCTGATGGGTCAGATGCAGTGGCTCACATCTGTAATCCTGGCACTCTGGGAGGCCGAGGTGGGAAAAAGCGTTCTGATGGTCTGAATGCTTTAAAGATTTAATTCCTGCCACTAGAAAAGACAGAGAAATGAATGAAGCAGATATGGCAGCATGTAATTAATTGAGAATCTAGGCAGAATTTATAGGAATTTTCATTGAACTATTCTTCCATTTTCTGTATGTCTGAAAAATTTTACTACTATAAAGCTTCATTGGCGGGGGAAGAAGGGGACAGAAACATACTGAAGATTTCATTCTGAGGCAGAAGGTAACATTACAGCCAGTCATAATGACTTAGGGAGTTAGGTCCAAAAGAAGTCCATGATATTTGCATCTTTGGGTATTTTCTGTCTCTCTCAAGAAAAAGTTGCCCATAAAGGTTTTATTTTGTGTATATATGGCTGACTTTGGGCCTTTTTAAGTACAGGAAGTAAGACTCCTAATATTCTTAAAACCCTTTCCTCCCTGGAAATAATCAGTAATAAAGTGGTGAAAGACTACTTTTTTGTTTAAATACTGTAATATGGTTTTAACAAAATACTAAGATTTACCAGCTTTTGTCTTAAATTACAGTGGGTTACAATAATTTCTCCATTTTAATGCTCAGATGGTATTCAGGAAAACCCATCTGGAGACTTTTGTGCAAAGCTACATAGCTAAAGTCAGTTATTTCAAGGTAAATTAGTAGCAACTTTGGGGCAGGCTTTGGCAAGCTTTTTGGGTCAGCTAATATTTCATATGGTATCTGTTGCAGTGACTCAGCTCAACCATTGTAGCATAAAAGCCGTAGAAAACATGTTAATAAATGAGGTGGCTGTGCTCTAATAAAACTTTAGGGATATTGAAATTTGAGTTTCATTTAATTTTCTTGTGTCAGGAAATATTCTTCTTTTGCTTTCTCTTTCAGCCATTTAAAAATATAAAAACTCTCCTCGCAGGCCACAGGAAGCAGGCCGTGTGCCAGATGTGGCTTTTCTGGCCATAGTTTGCCAACTCTGCTATAGGGTATGGCGCGGATGTGGTTAGGTTTGACTTCTTACAGGAATTTAGATGAATTTAGAGAGTTTCTCTAGTGTTTTATAAACTTCCAAACTTCTACAACCTTTGTATGACTTTTGGAGGCGGCTTTCCAATCTTAAGCTCACTTGCTGAACAAAGGAAGTAATGTAAGGTTGATTAGATTGATGGAACAGTTACATTGTTACCTGGGACCAGTGACCTGGAATATTGTTAGCTGGAACCAGTGACTTAATCCTGGAATAATTCTTGTTTTGTTTTGTTTTTTTGAGACAGGATCTTGCTCTGTCGTCCAGCCTGGGGTGTAGTGGTGGGATTATGCTCACTGCAGCCTCAAACTCCTGGACTCAAGCAATCCTACCACCCAAGTAGCTGGGACCACAGGTGTGCCCCACCACACCTGGCTAATTTTTGTATTTCTCATAGAGACGAGGTTTTGGCATCTTGCCCAGGCTGGTCTTGAACTCCTAAGCTTAAGGGATCCACCCACCTCGGCCTCCCGAAGTGCTGGGATTACAAGTGTGAGCCACTGTACTCAGCCAAATCGTGGAATATTTCTTATACTGGTTTGCATACTCTTTCCTTTCTCTTTCCATCTTGTCTCATGGGTTAAGGGAAAAGATTTTAAGTGATTTAGAGTTTCAGTTAAACAAATGCATGAGGTATATAACTGGTTATTCAACATGTTTTGACTTAAATGCCTAAAATCAGTATATTTGAGTACCTATCAATGTTATTGAGATTTGTAGTCTTATTATTATTATTTTTTTTTTAAAGACAGGGTCTTGCTCTGTTGCCCAGGCAACAGAGGTTGCAGTGGTTCCACCTTGGCTCACCTCACTGCAACCTCTGCCTTCTGGGTTCAAGCGATTCTCCTACCTCAGCCTCCTGAGTAGCAGGCAGTACAGGCATGTGCAACCATACCTGGCTAATTTTTGTATTTTTAGGGTTTCACCATGTTGGCCAGGCTGGTCTTGAACTCCTGACCTCAGGTGATTCACCTACCTCAGCCTTCCAAAAGTACTGGGATTACAGGCATGAGCCACCATGCCTGGCTCATTTTTATCTTTTATTTAGCGTTTTTAGAAGAACAAGTTATCCCTTGCCGGGCGCGATGGCTCATGCCTATAATCCCAGCACTTTGGGAGGCCGAGGCGTGTGGATCACGAGGTCAAGAGATCAAGACCATCCTGGTCAACATGGTGAAACCCCGTCTCTACTAAAAATACAAAAATTAGCTGGGCATGGTGGCGCATGCCTGTAGTCTCAGCTACTCGGGAGGCTGAGGCAGGAGAATTGCTTGAACCTAGGAGACGGAGGTTGCGGTGAGCCGAGATCGTGCCGTTGCACTCCAGCCTGGGTAACAAGAGCGAAACTCCATCTCAAAAGAAAAAAGAGGAAGGTTATCCCAAATAATTCCATCTGTATTCCATGAATTTACTGCAGCTAAGTTTACAATCAGATGTTTCTTGGAGATGTGTGAATGCATAAGTCACCGTCCTTTCACTGGCCACCACAGTTGGAGTGCTACAGTGGTAATACTTTATCTTCTTTTCACTGGGTATGTGGTTAGAATCCTCATTAATTAGTTTTTTTTCCTCCCATGGTGTTTTCTTTAAAGTGGTCATAAAAACTGTTAGTTACTTTATAAAACTTTTACCTTGAAATTGATTTTGTAAGTTTCAAATACAACATCCTTTTTGTTATTTGACAGCTGGATTTTTTTCAAAGACATCAGATGACAGGTGGTTGTTTGGCCACTGAACAAGCTGGCCTAATGGTGCAGTGTGTGTGTGTGTGTGTGTGTGTGTGTGTGTGTGTGTGTCCCCGTGTGTGTGTGTGTGTGTGTATGTGTGTGTGTCCCCGTGTGTGTGTGTGTGTGTGTGTGTGTGTGTCCCCGTGTCCCCGCTGGCTTAGTGGTGCAGTGTGTGTGTGTGTGTGTGTGTGTGTGTGTGTCCCCGCTGGCTTAGTGGTGCAGTGTCTCATGTGGACATGTTGGCCTAGTTGTGTGTATTGCATGTGTGTGGATGTGCTGGCCTTGTGGTGCAGTGTGGCGTATGTGTGGACTCACTGGCCTAGTGGTGCGGTGTCACATGTGTGCGTATGCACTGGCCTTGTGGGGCAGTGTTGCGTGTGTGTACACATGCTGGCCTAGTGGGGCAGGGTTGGTGTGTGTGTGTGTGGATGCGCTGACCTAGTGGTGCAGTGATGTACTGGCCTAATGATGCAGGGTCACGGGTACATGTGGATGGTAGCCTAGTGGTGCAGTGTCATGGGTGTGTGGAGATGCTGGCATTTGCTAGCATTGTTGTTGCCATTTGGTGATCCCACCTTGCTCTTGGCAACAGCGTTCACCGTGACAGACAGAAGCTTTGCCTGTCCCATTACTCCCATAAAACAGAATGGGATGGGACGGGTGCAGTGGCTCACACCTGTAATCCCAGCACTTGAGGAGGCTGAGGCGGGTGGATCACGAGGTCAGGAGATCGAGACCATCCTGGCCAACATGTTGAAACCCCGTCTCTACTAAAATACAAAAAATTAGCTGGGCATGGTGGTGGTCGCCTGTAGTCCCAGCTACTTGGGAGGCTGACAGGAGAATTGCTTGAATCTGGGAGGCGGAGGTTTCAGTGAGCTGAGATTGCATCACTGCACTCCAGCCTGGGTGACAGAGCGAGACTCTGTCTTAAAAAAAAAAAAAAAACCTGAATCAATGGCAGTGCCCCTGGCAATCTCTGTTTATTCTCTTTCTCGTCACCAAGGTAGAATAACTTAAAAAATGTTTGGGATGTATTTGGTGGGGGATAGGGGAGTATTAAGCTTTAACTTTTTCTTCCAATTTTCTTCTCACAGTTTATTCACAGAAAGTTTTTTCTTTCTCCATAGTTATAAACTAGTACTACTAAAAATAAATTCAGTTTTGAGAGAGACACAAATAAAATAGTCTGTAGGCACATGAAAAGGGATCAAATAAATGTAACAACAAAAACCAAGGAGAACAAAAAAGCAAAAGACTGATAATGTTAGTGCTCAGCACCATTCTTCTTGAAGATCAAAGGCCTCTGATGTGTGGATTCATCCAGTCACAGTAACTCTGAGGGGGCTCTTGCCATTCCATTCACTCAGGAGGAAACTGATGTATAAGGTTTTCTTTCAAGCTGGTGCTAGAGTTGGGCTATAAAGGAGGAGAGAGACCTTTATCCTTTAGCCATGATGAATCAAAAGGAAAACAAAATGTCTCTGTAGCCTCTTTGTAAATTGTGAGATTGTAGCTTTTTCCTACCAGAGTTTCTTCCTATAAGAAAATCGGAACCCTTCACTGTTGTAGAAATGCATGTTGAAGTCCAGCATTATTGCATTCAAAACTATCAGTTTTGAATTCTTGACCTTGGCTGTCCCTCATCTCTACCTTTCAAGATAAGTTTCTATAGCTGCTGATCTTATTTTATCACAGTTTATCCATAACCATCATAGAGTAAAACTAGCATTTGAACAGGGTGTTTTTTGAGTTCTCTTTATTCCCAGGTAAGTGTTTTTGGCTGGCATTGTGGTGTAATAGCTTGGAGTTAGAAGACTTGTTCATTTGAATCCTGG